ACGTAATGATGGCCACGGTAAGGAAGAGACAACGTACCTCTGCTGCATAATAAGCTCTTTTAACTGCATTCTTCAGGCGCTGGGGTATTCTTTTGCTGATGTTGTCACCGAGGTACTTGTTTTTTGGGAACTGTTGCCATACTGACTCTCCCTGGTGCTGAATTCATATTTTTCTCAATGAATTGATCTGGATAACCATTTTTTCTAAGTAATTCTCTAATAACCTTAAGCTCCTCATTGAGGCTGTCGTCTGAACAGATTAAAAAATAAAAAATTAACCTAGCTCTATGAAGTAGACACTTTACCAGGTTACTTTTATATTTCAAAGGTACAGAACTCAAAAAATGAGTGTACTGACCTGTTGTTGTAGGTTTCCTATACATACCCGTTCTTAGTGTGCCATCTTCTTTCCTTGCCATGAAAACGTCTAGGAATCAGATACTGTCATTACTTGCTTTCTCTATGGTAAAGTTTATTGCTGAATGTGCATCATTAAACTTGTCAAGGATGTTCATTGCATCATTTTCGTCTTTCATAAGCACAAATGTATCATCCATATATCGACAGTAGAAATCCATGTCACAACCACCCCTATTCTATGTTCGAGAAATAAGGATAAACTACCTAAATTTGCCTCTTCATTGTGTATCTACGAGTTTGAATGCAGCTGCGGAGCCAGGTACATTGGGCGTACAATTAGGCAGATTCATCATCGTATTTCCGAACATCACCCAACATGCTTAAGCAAGGGACAAACAAGATCTATTCGTAGCTCCATTTTAGCACACCTTGTAGACAGTGAGCATAAGGTAGATGTTAATACTGCATTTAAAGTTATTAATCGCATTCCGACTTATCTTAATTTTGCTCTACGAGTTCGTCTTCTACAGACAGCTGAAGCAATCGGAATTCACCTGAAGAAGCCAAGCCTATGTACAACCACTTTCCTTACCGTGGCCATCATTACGTGAATTCATAATCAGGACTGTGCGTCGGGGGCATAGCTGTTAGGACGCTCGCCAACCATGGACATGGTCCGGGGTTCGATCCCCGGCCGATGCACTCCTTTACCTCGCTAAGCCAGAAATAATGCTGGTAAAGAGGAAAGGTTGGGCATGAGGCTAGCAACCCCATCCTGTATCGAACATCGAATGACCTTGGCGGCCTGTTTGAATATTTTTGGGCTACCACATTCCATGTACATTTTGCATCTATTTACTCGTATTTTATTGGTATTTACATATCACATTATGCATTCTAATCGTATTATCTACCCTCGGGATTTTATAAAACGTTTTAAACCCAAAAACTTTCATATTTGCAATAAACTCAAGAAAAAGCACCATGGAGGTTGGCAGCGTGCCTTAAAATCTACACCCATACATCACACCACTGTTCCAGTTATCATTAGTACCAACTGCCGGTCCCTGCCTAACAAAATTCTGGATTTTCAGTCTCTGTTGTCTTCTAGTACCTACCACAATACTGGTATTGTCACTCTGCAAGAAACCTGGCTCCATGACTCATACGATGACAATATTGTGTCTCTAAACAATTTCAATGTTTTTCGACAAGACCGTATTTGTTCCAAGAAAAAGTGTGGTGGAGGTGTTGCAACTTTTATTCACTCAAAATGGTCCATTTCAAACAAAGTTTGTTTCAAATTCTCGAATGACTTCATTGATTGCATCACTGTGAGATGTCGCCCGAAACACATTTCAAAATACAAATTCATTTATATTTCTAATGTTTATGTCTCTCCTGGCTGTACCATATTGGATTTATCTATGTTCGCCGATGAATTCACCGCTTTTGCTGCAGCTTGTTTCGAGAACTCTTTATCAATAGTAACTGGCGACTTCAATGCTAGCGATTGCTCCTTCCTTATATCACTTGGTCATGACAATATTGTCAACTTTGCCACCCGTCTTGGTAAAAAACTGGACCTGGTATTTATCAATGATGTTGGTATATATGAAGCTCGCAAACGTGCTCCTCTACTTAATTCTGACCACTGCATCATACGTGTGCTGCCTAAAATATATTCCAAATCACACAAAGGTGTCCTCTCTCACCTCTACAGTAAAGTTCAACGGAGATGCTACTCAAAAGACAACCTAGACAAGCTCAGATGCATGTTGAAAGACACTAACTGGGACTTATTTACAGAACAAACATTAGATGAAACAATCACAAACACTACCGATTATCTTAAATTCTGTTTCGAAATATGTTGTCCTAAAGAAACATTATTCATCCGATTTGATCGCTTATCTTCGCCATATCTCAAAAAGCTACGTAGAAATAAAGAACTGTTGTTCAAAACTAATGATAAGCCTGGTGTAAAAAAGTTAAACATGCTGATAAAACTGGAAATAAAAAGACTAAGTGTTTTATATAATCAAAGATTTTTGTCATGTAAAACCCCTTCTAATTTATGGAAACTTTTCAAAGAAATTACTAACGGTAAGCGATGTATTTCTGTTCCATCTCTTAATGTTGACACTCTTAATAAATCTTTCATACGCTCTTCTGTTGATACCCTTCCAAATGATACAAATCATATTGACAATAACTTTAGTGGTTTTAATACCCTTGATGTGCTTAAATGTCTCCGGTCTCTTAAGCCTTCTCAAAGCCTTGGTCCTGACGGCATACCTGCCATTGTCCTCAGGAATTGTGCTGATATTTTGTGTTATCCTCTTACTAACATTTTTAATGCCTCTTTTTCCGGTAACGTTCTACCTTTTGCATGGAAAAACATTAAAATTATCCCTATACCAAAACCATCTTCTGGTTCTGATATTAAATTTCGGCCTATTGCAATTACTTCCCCCTTTTTAAAATTGATGGAAAAATTACTTTTACTTCGTCTTGAACCCGCTTTGAAACCTTTTAATGATCCTAAACAATTTGCATACAAACATGGTAGAAGTACCTTGGATGCTGCGGTTGTCTTATATCACAATGTTGTCTCTTGTTTAGACAAAGGTGCTAAATATGTTCGTAGTGCTTTCTTAGACTACACATCTGCTTTTGACTCTGTACCTAGGGGCCTTTTATTAAATAAGCTATCATTGACACAAACAGGATCCTGGGCTAAGAGTTGGTTGCATTCCTATTTTTCTGATAGAATGCAGTATACTGTATATAACGGCAAATCTTCTTCTACCTCGCTTACAAAATCCGGTGTTCCACAAGGTGCTGTCCTCTCTCCTTTTCTTTTTTCTTTCTTCCTACATGACCTGCCTCATTCAAACGAAACTAACTTTGTTAAATATGCAGATGATCTGACTGTATCACTGCCTATCACTTCCGAGTCTGACAGCTCCAAACTTAATAGCTTTCTGTTGGACATCAACAACTGGTCCAAGTCAAATGGTCTTATATTAAATCCTTCCAAATGTCAGGTGCTTGACTTTACTTTCAAGCATCGACGTGACTTACTTGAACTAGTTAACTCTCATGATCCCTGTAGCATAGATGGCACGGAAATTGAAACCAAATCAAGTATTAAATACCTTGGACTAGTTTTTTCCTCTGACCTTTCATGGTCATCCCATATCTTATCTATCTCTAAGAAAATGTTTCGTCTTACCTTCTACATTAAAAAGTTAAGACAATCAGGTATCAACCAACCTTTAGTTTTGCAATTTTTAAACTCCTGTATTTTACCTATTGTACTCTACTGCTCTCCATTAATCTTTCCTGGGCTGCTCAAAAAAGATTATATCATATTACGAAGAGTATTAAATGCTGTGAGTAGAGCTTGTGGTCTGCCACTGCATGAGCTCGCTAATACTATAGTCGAGAGGCATATAAATTCCTGTACGAAATGGGCAAAGGCTATAATGTCAGACCCTCTGCACCCCCTTTATTCACACCTGTCCCCTTGTATCTCATCAGGTAGGACGAGAAGTCAATATAAAAAGATATATGCTCGTACTACTAAGTATAGAAATTCTACAATACCCTATTTAGCGCGTACTTTATGTGACGAAGACTCTGTTAGACGTGAAACTTACAAGTTACTATGTAATTAGCACAGTGAATCGACCCTTTTATCGTTCATCTTTCTGTATTTTATGGTGTTACACTTTCTATCGTTTAAATCGTTACTCTGCTATTTTATTTTAGTTGGTATTACTATTATTACTACAATTTTGTACTTTATACATATTTTTCTCCGTATGGCACACAGTATTTTGCTACGTAGCTGCTACAACAATCGTTTTATTACTATTATGTATTGTGTATTTTTAATTTTTTTTGTCGTTTTTGGGTAAATTAGATGCAATATTGTACTGAATGCTGAAAATTCCTTGCTGTATCATGAGTACTGTTTTTGGAATAAAGCAATTATTATTGTTATTATTATTATTAAAATAAACACTTCTACAGAAAATTCAAGTCACTAGCTTGAAGCCCTATGCTCCACTGGGGAACGTGAAGGAAAAAAAATAATAAACAGGACTACTTCGCCCCCCTCCTCCAAAACCTTTAAAAATTATAATTGTCGAAATTATTTTACCTTATTTTTTATTTATTTTGACCACTTCAACTTTAATTACGTGTTATCCTTGTAAAACTAATTTATTCTAACCATTTCTACCTTTTAATTGTGTATTGATTTTCTTCGTTAATTATCAACCCATTGACATTTTGACACTGACTAATTATTGTTAGCAGACATATCGCCACTTGATTGGTAAACTGTTGTGTATTTTAATAAAAATGCTACATATATTAGAGTAGAGCTAGAGATGAGGATCTAATTGAAGACTGAATATTTCTTCGCTCAATCTTTCTGTTTTTCTTTATGTCTAAATCGGGATTTTTTAACATCTTTTCATTTTCAACCACTGTTAGATTATATTGTTACGTGACTAAATGTACCTTGAAATCAACTAAGTCATCACCAATTTAATAAGTCAGTAAATTAACTTCGTGTTTAAACCGTAAGACTTTATTTAAATGTTGTCTGGTTTCCTCCTTTGCAGAAGTTGAAGGTTCCAATGAATTCTCTGTTTAACTGAGAAGTCTCCTGAATACATGCATGTCTCTTGGAAAAATTTAATCAATGAAATGTACATTGAAGATGTTGTCTGTTTTACCATGCCTTTTAATTAGTCATAAAGCATTTTTGTCAGGGAAAAAGAACATTGCATATTGGCTATAATTTTGTCTTAAATGTATACATAATGTTGACATTTTTTGAAAAAATTATACATTTATATGTGAACGCTCTTTAGTTTAATCATGAGACAAAGGTCAACATTCTACTATTATATATACCCAAGATTATTTTTGCTTCTAATTGGATATTTTATAAAAGAAAAATACAGATTGAAAACAGTCTGAAGTACTGAAAAACTTGAAAGATGAAATTATTTCAGTAAAGATACCGATCAGAATACAAATAATGTCTAATAAAAGAAAAAATAATGTCATCATAGCAACGAGCCATAAGTCAGAACCGAGGTTAAACAATGACAAGTCAACATTGAAATCTGCCAAGAATGATATACAAGGGAAACATAAGTAATTAGATAACAGAAACAGAAGCATAAATAAGGCAAACGACCAAAATGAAAAAGAAACAATATAGGATACTGAAAATTTATTTTGGAAAATTGTAAGCAGGGAAAATAAACGGTCGCAAAGCAAACAAGGAACGAAGGTCGAAAGAAACAAAATACATGAGAGACTATTATAAAAAACAAGGAAAAAAGAAAAGAAATACGATCGAAAAACCACAATGAAAACACACTAACAACACAACATAACCCATTAAATTCAATAAACTTTAAAATAAATTAGACAGTAATTCTAAACATCAAGAAAGAGATGTATTATAGGTGATACGAAAACTATCAGAGTGGAAATTCCGTAAAAAAAGATTTATGATTCTTGCTTACATCTAGATGTAAGACGGACATTAATGAAATTTCAACGAGATGCAAGCATTAATCATACAGGGATAAAAATTGGAGACTGTGGTAAAGCATAACTACCTTATGGATAAAATTTATACTATAATAAAATCATAAGGTGTTATGTACTCAAAAAAATACCGACGACGGTCCTCGAAAAAATAATTGATAAAAATCATATAAGGGAAATCACACAAAATATATATCACAAAAATTAAACAGTAAAAGATTTAGCAATTACTGAAACTGCAACAATACAATAAAAACAAACCAACAAATACACACGAAAACACCATAAAAGGATGTCAAAAAGCATTATACAGACTCAAAATTCTACCAAAATAACGAGTGAAATGAGGCACAATACTCCCTCCATTACTCGTCACATGCTAAATATAGGGAACAATACTACTCCAAACACATTGGAGGAGATGGCTGAAAGCATTCTGAGCTTGAACACAAGAAGAAAATCTCCTGAAACCAACACTCTCTACTCACCTCAATCAAAAGTGAATTCACTCTTCGGACAAAATCAATGGGTGTTTTCATGTGAAGAGTGGCACACAAATACTCAACTCATACCGATGACAACAATGGTGACAGCACTGGTGGAAGTCTATGCATCTCATCTTTATGGGACAGTCAACCAACAGAAATCTCATTCATTCTCATCTTCACCAGCTGGGAGGAGTGTCGCTTCACACGACTCCATTATCCACTCAATAACTGACTGATTCATTGACAAACTGACAGGCTGACAGACTGATTGACTCAGGACAGTAATGCTGGTAGAATGCACAAGCTACCAATCATGCAGCATCCCGACAGAAGGACCGAGCGAGTATCAATGCTTTATCATTACTTACACCACCAGTAATTGTCATTGACAAATTTCTGTCATAAATAAACTCCTGTTAGCATTGCAGTAATTGAATTACAATGAGAGATAAGCGATGATTATTGCTTGTCAGATTCCCTTCATTTTGACAGTAGAGTTGTTTTCTTCTAATTGATGAGTTGCCTGTGACTGTTGTAATTGTATCACAAAAGTTTTGTGATTCTTTGTGTAGATGTAGATGTAAGACTGACATTAATAGGCTTTCGACGAGATGTAAGCATACAGTGGAAGCGCGGTAACTACTCAATAGGTGATATTTCTAGTGGGAAGGTGTTCAGTGTGTATGTGAAAAGTGTTAGTTTAGTTTATAGGTGAGATGGAATGTGGTGTTGTTGTGTAGAAGGAGAGAATGTGTTTAGTGGAGAAGTCGTGAGTGGGGCTGCTTCGTCATGGTTTTTGTTGTTGTTGTTGTTGTTGTTGTCGTTGTCGTGGTGGTTAGAGTGACCGTGCTAGCTAGTATGATTGAGTGAGCGTGGTCAGTGAGTATTGGTTTGTATGATGTGATGACATTGTTGAAGATTCGGGCTCAGCCGGGAGTCGAACCCGGGACCACTCGCACCCGAAGCGAGTATCATACCCCTAGACCACTGAGCCACGAGCGTCTGCCCACCACGAATTTACCCCCAATCACAATATATTCATATATACACTCACCACCTTCAATTCAGTATTTCACACTCCCATCATATACAACATATCATCACATCATCATCTATCTCAGGTCAACAGAACAACTTCTCAACCTCATCTCATCGCCTTCGTATTTCATTGCTTAATTCACTGGAGAGAACGCATACATACAGTCATCTATCTCACTCACTGTGAATAACCAACTGACGATCACCTGTACTCACCTAATCACTCTCTTCCACTCTCCTGACTTCTTCGATATTTCAATAATGACGAAGACAGTCTGAATGATAGAGAAATGAGATAAGATCTGGATGTGGTTTTGTTCTCTGAGCTGGATGGTTAGTTTGCGAAGGTTTCATCACCTTACTGGGTGACATCTTCAGCGCATACTTCAATTTGAAGTGAGCTTTTAGATTTCTCCACGAGTTTATTAATCATCTCTCCTGGTGACCTTGGACGTGATTGGTTGTTTGTGTGTGTTTTCACACCTTCTAGGTTACTTGTATTGGAACCGGTTGTTTCTTTGACTTGAATTTTGACCCTTTGTCTGTGAAGTTTCTTTCTTATTGGTTGATAAATTTTGTCTATGTCGATGTGTCTATTGATTGATGATCCACTGGAATGCCAAGCTTCTAAAAATTCTCTAGCATTCTTGTTATTTCCTTTGTCTAATATTTGAACGTTGTCCCAGTCGAATTGATGTCCGTAGTTGTCTGTGTGTAGTGAAATGAGGGAGTGGATATCATGTCTTTTGACGGCTAGCTTATGTTCGTGGATACGAAGACGAAGGGGACGTCCACTTTGGCCGATGTAGTGTTTTTCGCAGTTGTTACAGTTTATTTTGTAGATGATGTTGGTTTTATCTTCTTTCGCTGTTGAGTCTTTTGGTTGACATAGAATTGAGTGAAGCGACTTTGTTGGTTTGTGTACGACGTCAACTCCTAAAGGTTTGAAGAGTCTTGTAGTGATTTCTGAGATATCTTTTATATATGGTAAGGCAATTTTCTTTGTGTTCTCCTTGGTGGCTTTTGCTTTGGTAGGTTGGCTTGGGGGTATATGTCTCTTGATGAAATTCCGTGGATATCCATTCTTTTGGAAGACGTCCATGAGATACTTTTCTTCAATTTTTCTTAAGGTGGGAGTGCTGCAGTGAGTCCTTGCCCTCTTGAATAGTGTTTGTATGCAATTCCTTTTGTGTGTTATTGGGTTGTTGCTGTTGTAATTCAGTATTTGGTCTGTGTGAGTTGATTTCCTATAAACTTGAGTTTCTAATTCTCCTGTAGTTGTTCGCCTGACTAAGACGTCCAAAAATGGTATTTTGTTCTCGGATTCCTCTTCTCTTGTGAATTTGATGTCGTTGAAGACGTTGTTTATTAAGTTGTGAGTTTTATCTAATTCGTTTCTTTTGATGATTACAAATGTGTCGTCGACGTAGCGTATCCAAATCTTGGGTTTGATCTTTGGTAGAATTATATTTTCGAGTCTTTGCATCACTGCTTCTGCAATCAAACCTGATATTGGCGATCCCATGGGTGTTCCTTTGACTTGTTCATATATTTGGCCGTTGAATTGGAAGTATGTTGTTAGGCATAGATTTATGCATTCCATCCAGCTTGTGTGTTGCATTTTTGATTGTTGTGGCAGTTGTTCGTCGTTGCTAAGTAGTTGCTCCATGGTTTCTTTTGCTAGGTTTTGTCCGATGGATGTATATAATGCTGTCACGTCGAATGATACCATTATTTCTTGTTCATCTATTTGGATGCCTCTGATTTTCTCTAGGAATTGGATAGCAGAGTTGATGGAGTGATCGCAAGATTCCGTTAGGTGTTTTAGTTTTCTGTATAATTCTTTGGATAAATTATATGTTGGAGTTCCTGGGAGTGATACAATTGGTCGTAATGGGATATTTGCCTTGTGTATTTTGGGTCTGCCGTAGAATCGGGGTAGGACTGGTCCATTGGATTTCATTCGCCATTGGTCTTGTTTTGTGATCTGTCCAGTTTTGGTGAGCTTGTTTAAGGTCCTTTGGATGCGGTTATCCAATGTTTGTATGGGATTTGTTGGGAGTTGTTGATATACATCTTCATCTTTGAGTAGTTCTTCTGCTTTCTTGGTATATTCTTCTCTGTCCATGACTACTGTTGTTCTTCCTTTGTCGGCTGGTAAAATGACGATGTCCTTCCTATTTTTCAGCTTTTTGAGGGCCTTTAGTTCTTGAGCGTTGAGTTGTGTGTGTTGTCTTTTCTGTTTGACCATTGGTACAATTGTTTGGCGTATCTCTTCCTGTGTTTCCTCGTTCAAGTTTGATGATTTGAGTAATGATTCAAAGGCAGCGAAGAAATCAGTTTTTGAAGCATCTCCGGTGTTGTAGTTTAATCCTTTTTGTAGTAGTTGTTGTTCCATTTTTGATAGTGGTTGTTTTGATAGGTTGACTACGCAGTCTATGGGCGTATTGTCTGGTTGTTGTTTTCTAATCTTGGCTAGCTTGGTTTTGAGGACTCTTCGTCTTTGTTCTCTGTGTTTTTCACTTGACAGTGTAATTGCGGTGATCAGCGTTGACAGGTGTTCCTGGTTGAGAGTTTTCTCTAATTTTGCTTTTTGGATATCTATAATTTGTTGATATTTGTTGATCCGATAATGTGCATCTGTAATCATTAATTTGACCATTCGTCTTCCACATTGTTCGGCCAATTTCCATCCCATTGGGCAGTTGACTGGTGGTTTGTATCTTACACTGTTTGGTAGGATTGAATGACGAAGGCACTCATGGAGAAAGAATAATTGTTCTCTGGTGGATCCTTGCCTTTTGGCGAAGTCTT